ACCATTTCAAACAAATGGCTGTCCAATGTCTTCTTAAAAACCTTCAGTGATGGAGCACCACAAGTCCAGGAGGCAAGTCGTTCCATTGCTTGTTGTTACTGTCAGGAGATTTCTCCTTAGCTCCAGGTGGGCTCTCTCTTTAAAGAGCTTATTGCTTATTGTCCTGCCCTCAAGTGCTTTGGAGAATAGGACAGTTCACTGTTCTCTGTGACAGCGCTTCATGTACTGGAAGATAGCTATAATGTCACTGATAATCCTTCTCTTTGTCAGACTAGACAATCAATCAGAATAGAGATGGAAGAGATCTTGGAGGTCTTCTAATCCAGCCCCCTGCTCAAGTAGGAGAGCCTATACCATTTCAGAGAAGTCAATGTCCAATCTCTTCTTAAAAGCCTCCAATGATGGAGCACCACAACTTCTGAAGGCAAGCCCTTCCACTGGTTCATTGTCCTCACTGTTAGGAAATTTCTCCTTAGTTTCATTCTACTTTATTGTAAGGTTACGGTAACAGAATCTTGTTCTTATTTTCAAAACCTGCAAATGAAAGGCTAATATGCATTTCACATCTCTTCTAGTTTGGTGTGTAGTTCAACATGAACTTGGTAGAGCAAGAATCATGAATTTTTTATACCCCAGGCCAACCTATTCTTTTTGTCTTCTTTTTCCGCTTTCTCCTTTGAGCGGGAACAGAATTTGGAACTAGAAGAAAACCTTTTTAGCAGATTCAAGTGGTCTTCAAAGCTTAGTATCTCATTAGTGAAGAAGAAGTGGAAAAGCAAATTGGGATGAATAGTAGCCCTGTTCTTGAAATCCTTGATATGATTTCCTATTGCGTTATTTGGGATGCGGCCCTTTCTTCTCTCTCCTTTAAAAATGCAATTAGCTTACTTGTTTGAAAGAGTTGGTTGTTCAGAAGCCTTGAAAAGGGGTTTTATCAAGAGGACTCCTTTCACAGTCATTTGGTAAGTATACGAAAGAAATTGGCTTGTATCAGAAAACTAAGATTATAACTGAGCAATTTTAGGAGCAAGCCATCTGTGAGAAAGCAGGTCAAAAAAGTCAAGATGGCAGCCGCCGTCGTTCCATCAAGGTCACGACCTTTTTACTGTGCACACTGCGTAAAGTAGCAGAGCATCCAATGTGCAACTGCAGCCGCGATTTCCCCCCCCCCCTTTTTTTTTTTTACATTCTTGTTGAGCAACCTGATGGTGGACAGGTAGATGTTTTTGTGGTTTGGGTTCTCCTTTGATGCCAAAGAATTTGCAGATCGGGGAGTGGAGAGGAGCCAAGCCCCAGTGGAGAAAGTCTCTTTCAGATCAAGGCAGTGAGTAAAATCCCAGAGAAAACAATTAACTTCAATCAAGCCTTCATCTGGCCCAGATGGAACCCTCAACTGCAAAAAAAAAAAAAAAAGCATTAAATATCAGACTATTTATGGCAAGAGCCTTAAAATAGCTGTAACATTTCCCTGGCTCGTCCCTTGGGCTTTACGCATCTTTGCCTGAATTATGCATGGCTCCCGTTTCATTCGGTCCCCAAAGCTAACCCTTTTCTCTCAAACACGCAGCACTGATTGAGTTGCTAAACTTCCCAGAAAAAAAGAAAAAAAGGAAAGAAAAGGGAGATGAAAGAGAGAAAAATAATCACCATATGCAGCCCAGCTGTTGATTAATTCGGGCAAATGGAATGGGAATCCAAAATGTTTCGTTGCCAGAGAGAAGTTCAGGTAATGCCGGATGCCTATCCAAATGGAATGCAATCAATCAGAATAGAGCTGGAAGGGATCTTGGAGGTCATCTAGTCTATAGAGCAGGAGACTCTATACCCGGAGTAGACAACTCTTGGCTCTTTATGACTCGTAGACTTCCAGAATTCCTGAGCCAGCATGGCTCAGCTTGGAAACTCTCCCTTTCCCCTCAGCATGGCTGGCTCAGGAATTCTGGGAGTTGAAGTCCATCAGTCATAAAAGGGCCAAGGTTGCCTACCCCTGGACTAGCCAAACCCAAGTCCCGCAGCTGTTCTTCATATGTTTTAGTCTCCAGACCTTGGATCATCTTAGTTGCCCTTCTCTGACTCATGTTATGATGGTCACAGAGTCCCGGAGTGGTGTGATCTCCTTTTGCGAGCTTCCGCCAAGCAAAGTCCATGGGGCAAAGTCAGATTCACTTAACAACTGTGTTACTAACTTAACTAGCAGTGATTCACTTAACAACTGTGGCAAGAAAGGTCACAAAATGGGACAAAGTTCACTTAACAATGGAAATTTGGGGTTCAATTTTAGGTCGTAACGCGAGGACTATCTGTAGATGTCTAGTTAACAACCAGACAGGGAGAGAGAGAGCTTTAGGATGACCGAAACTGGGAAATGGCCGTCTGTGTGTGTCGTTCATGGAAGGCAGCCTTGGTGTCATGCAATTTTATAAGTCGCATCGCCCAAATTGAGGTTAAAATGTTAATGATCTTTTGCATCCAGGATTTAATATTCTCCAAGAGGCGCTGCAGTGGCTGCCTCTTTTCATGCACTCTCTGTGACTTTTGCACGGGGCGCCAAATCGCAGCCGCATTTCTGGAAGGCTCGGGGGAGTTGCGAGCGTCATTCAGACATCTTCGCAGGGAGGTTAAATTGGGCAAATGGAGGGGAGGGAATAGCAATCAGGAAGACGTGGAGCCCGTTTGAGAAGTGTGGGATTAGGGCCAGAGGCATCTGGGTGGGTCAAAAAAGTCAAAATGGGGGGCACCTCTGTGCAACGAACGCCCTGCCTTTCTATGTGCTTATTTTGAAAGGCGGAAAGGGGGGTATGTCAATTCAATTTATATTTGTTATGGCCTTTAGCCAGTCAAAGGGCAGGGTTTTGATGGCACAGTTGCATACCCGCCATCTTGACTTTCTTGCCCTCCTTGAGACACCTCCAGCTTAGATTCTGTTTTCCATTAAAATGAAAGCAAGCCTTTTAACATTTTAGCCTCCCCCCCCCAATGGAGATTGAGTTCAGGCAAGTGGGAAGCTACAAGAATCTGAGTCTTTAAAAAAAGAAAAGGCTAAATCTAACCAAACCAAACTTAGCAAGTTGCTAAGGTCTTTTGCTGCCTTGAGTAGGCAGGTTGTGTGAGTTTGCACCACCCGCTAGGCAGGACAAACATGTGATTGGGTTGTGATGCAGACTGGGAGAAGCAGGGCACGCCCAGACAAGCACAACCAGAGACAGGCTGAAATGATAAAACACACATTACCCAGAGAAAGTAGTCAAGTTTGCATCACAACGTTGCAATTCATGTTTTATCGTATGCTGTTCCCCAATCACAGCCACTCATATGGGCAATCTTTGTGTGTGTGTGTGTGTGTGTGTGTGTGTTTGTGTGTGTGTGTACGCGTGCACTAAAGCTGATGTGGGTCTTGAACATGGGACAAAATTCACTGAACAAATGTCTCAGCAACAGAAAAGTTGGGCTCAATTTTAGTTGTAACTCAAGGATTACCTTTATGTAACCAACTTACAGAAAAGACTCTGGATGCATTCAGACATGCATCTCAGCTCAGTCAATTTTGAGCCTATTTGCGGGTCTCTCTCTGTAGGACTTTGTGTGTTGTGCGCAGCTTTCCCCTTTTCTCCCTTGATAATTCAAGCTCTTTTGCAACAACCCTCCGCCACAATGAGTTAATTCAAAGACCAAGTGAGGTGTCCTGTACAAACCCATCTTCAAGTTAACACTAATAAGCACAAATTAAAACTCTCAGCGATTGCAGCTTTGCCCAGGAAACGGAATCCCTGCTTTTGATGTTAATTTGCAAGGCATTATGTATATATTGATGTTCCAAGAAAAAATACTGCATAAATTTGTGTAACTCAGCAGTTTATCTGTACTTCTGCATGATCAGAACCTTGTATATTGTGTATGTGTGTGTGTTAGTGGCTTGCTTGGCTCAGCGGCTGAACTCTGCATGCCATTAAACCCTTGTCGGATTTTGTGATTAGTGGTTTGCCCGGAATGTTTTCCTTAATGAGCAAACAGCTGTTCCAGGAGATTTGCCATTCTACCTTTCCACCTCCTGCTGAGTAGCTGTGGTCTCTGGTTTCCTCTCCTCCTTCAAGTCAGCCGATGGAACTCTTTACTATTTCAGAGGACAATGCAAGTCCTGCAGAAGGACATAATCCGGGCGACAGTTGGCCTGTCCAGACTGCTGTCAAAGATCAGCTGCTTCTTTAGAACATGGAGAATTTATATGATTCCTCTATTTCATTCCTTCATTTAACTGGATATACCACCAACGATGGACATTTCTTACAACAACAACCATGTTAACATTGAGGCATTGAGAGTGGTTCAAATAGCAATTAAAATAAATAAGGAATACAAATAGAATGAATAATTAAAATTTGAAACCAGCAATTAAATGCCTGTAGAAAAAGACGTGCTTTCAAGACTTAACAGAGAGGCAACTCTGCAAGGAATATCCTCCAGAGAGCTGGATTGTGACAGGGAAAGCTTGATCTGGATTTGGCACCAGGCAAGCATGCAGCAACTATGGGGTTACCTTTACCTATTTACCTAGGTAAATTACCAAGGACCCCATAGTCATCCACCTGTTCCTTCCTCCTCCTCCTCCTCTCCGAAAATCCGTTCTCTTCTAGCACAGATGATGTTGCTATTATTGATTTACATGTTTCTGGTAGTAGCTGACATACCAGCAGATGGGTCAGGCACTATGTCTCCACATTCACGCAGTGTGTTGTTATCTGCTAACAGCCTCCACTTGAGCATATTGGTTTTACTCATAGGCACTCCAACCTATTCAGGGTCCTCTAACAAAGTTACTATATATTTACAAAGATATAAATCTACAAAGTACATTTGGGAATTTGGGGTTCCCAGCTCTTGCTAGAGGACAATTCCCAGCATCACCCACCCACTGCTGGTCACATTGCCTGGGCTGTGACTGATGGGGGTTGTAATTCAGTCCAAATTTGCAACACCCAGCCTAGTTCTGTTTTGTTTTCCAGGGAGAGATCTGTTCGGTTATGTGTCCTCCTGGGAGCTATGGAGTCAATTGCTCCTTGGCCTGCAACTGCAAAAACGACGGCACGTGTTCCCCAGGAGATGGCTCCTGCTTCTGCAGAGAAGGTAGAGTTTCCTATTTCAATGGCTTTTGTGCATTGGTGTCCATCATGCTTTCACTGAGAATGGTCCAGATCTCCAAAGTTTTCCTGTGGTTTGGGTTTTGTGCCCCATATTGTTCCTGGCTGCTCATTAAAGTTGATGCAGTTTGTGGTTTTCCAATTTTTGTCCTGGCTTAATCCTTCCTCTCTGACCTGGTGCATACTTGTGATTTGATCCATGTCAACAACCTCAAGTCACGGCTTTCAGTTGTGATGGCACAGAAGCCACATAGCACCTCTGTAAAATTGCACTGGATACCAGTAAGTTTCCAGGTGCCATTCAAAATGCTGGTTGGGACCTCTCATGACAGAAAGCATGGCTGTTTGAGGAATCCTTTCTCCCATCGCCTCTGCATGGTCCAGGTCCCGTCCTTAAAGCAATGCCATCTGATGGGGTCCATGCAGCAGGCCTTCTGCCCTCTGGGAAAGTACCCCCCCCTTCCATTGCTGTGACCACCAAGAGAGTCACAGCTGAGAGTTGACCTAACATTCTTTGGCTCTTTGATTTTACAGGGTGGCAGGGAACTGACTGTTCCATTCCATGCCCGAGCAACACGTGGGGTCTTAACTGCAACCAGACCTGTTATTGTGCCAATGGAGCTGCCTGTGACCCCGTGGATGGATCTTGCTTTTGTGGTCCTGGGTGGCAAGGGGAAATCTGTGACCAGCCTTGCCCTGTAAGTCTTCCTTGGGTTGGAGAGTTCTTTTCATGGGTGATCCAGGCTTAGATCAGGGAGATAGATACGTGTAATATTTTCAGTACACATCTGTTGAAATCAGTCAGAATAACAGAGTTGGAAGGGACCTAGTCCAGCTGGTGCTCTTCTTCACTCTAACCACTATGACCCAAGAATGTAGTCAAAAGGGAGACTCAAAAGAAGCTACAAAAATGCCCAACGTTAACATCTAGCTTAGGTGAGAACTCCAGAGATCAGGGATCAAGTAGCTGATGACCCTCCCATCTTTAAATTTGGCAAGAGTGAACTGTGCTCAGGATCCCTCCAGTGTTGGTGGGAGAAAGAACCAGTGCAATGAACGAATGAACAGAACAGAACAAAATAAGTGAGTTGGAAGGGATCTTGGAGATCTTCTAGTCCAATCCCCTGCTCAAGCAGGAGACCCTATACTGTTACAGACAAATGGTTGTCCAGTCACTTCTTTAAAACCTCCAGTGATGGAGCACCTACAAACTCTAGAGGCAAGCTGTTCCACTGTTTAATTGTTCTCACTATCAGGAAATTTCTCCTTAGTTCTAGGTTGCTTCTCTCCTTGATTAGTTTCCACCTGTTGCTTCTTGTCCTGCCTTCAGGTGCTTTGGAGAACAGCTTGACTCCCTCTTCTTTGTGGCAGCCCCTCAAATATTGGAACACTGATGTATAGACTCCAGAGAGCTACTACAGCAGATAGCTATCAATAGACTAGATCTTTATTTATTTATATATGTATTTATTTGTTTATTTGTTACATTTGTTTGCCGCCCATCTTGCCACAGTGACTCTAGGCGGGTTACAACACTAAAAGCAATAAAACGATACAGACACATATATCCAACTGTAATAAAAAGGCAATTACAAATTATGACTAAAGGATGGGAGGGAAGGAATAGGATGAGCAGGAGTAGGGAGGGGGATCTGCTATTGGTCCATCAACCACCCCCAGTGTGATACTCCCCCATTGGGGCCCCAAGCCAGCTGGCAGAGTTTTAATTAAGATCTTAATTAAATTAAGATCTTAATTTTTTCCCCAAGCTAGCTAAACTGGTAACAATCGCCACTTCTTGTGCCAATTAGTTCCAGACTGATTAAGCAAAGAAACTAGGCATTAAGATTTTCTGGGATTCAGACAGAAACATTGCACCTGATTTAAACATATAATTGTATGCTTAAATCTATAACTTTATTTTCTAGGGTTAGAATAAGTTTGTCTTGATAGACCTGCATCCACCTATCCTCACTTTTTTTTTAATTTAATGAAAGGATGGGACATATGGCCTGAACTGCACCGAACGCTGTGATTGTGACCACGCAGACGGGTGTGATCCTTTGACGGGCTATTGCTGCTGCCTTGCTGGTTGGACAGGTAAGCTGGCAGGCTATCAAATGCTTCACCCTCTCGCTCAGTTAAATGCTACGACCTCTTCATTCTTTACTTTAAATCAGGTGTGTCCAACCTGCAGCTCTGGATAGTTAGTACAGGTCATCCTCAATTTACAACCATTTGTTTTGTGACTGTTTGAAGTTACAACCACACAGGGGGGAAAAAACGACTTGGGGTTGTTTTTCACACAGAGAACTGTTGTAGCAGCCCCAGGGTCATGTGATCAAAATTCAGGCACTTGGCAACTGACTCATATTTATAACAGTCGCAGTGTCCCAGGGTGATGGGTTCCCCTTTTGCGACCTTCTGCTAAGCAAAGTCAATGGGGCAGTCAGATTCTCTCAACAGCCGTGTGGTGGCGCAGTGGTTAGAATGCAGCACTGTAGGCTACATCTGCTGTCTGCCGACTGCCAGCAGTTCGATCCTGTCCTGCTCAAGGTTGACTCAGCCTTCCATCCTTGTGAGGTCGGTAAAATGAGGACCCAGATTGTTGGGGGAGCAATAGGCTGACACTGCAAAGTGCTTAGAGAGGGCTGTAAAGCACTATGAAGTGATATCTAAGTCTAAGTGCTATTGCTATTGCTATTGCTATTTTGGGGCATTGCCCCCTTCCCCCTAAACCAGTATTTCTCAACCTTGACAACGCTGGCTGGGGAATTCTGGGAGTTGAAGTCCACACATCTTAAAGTTGTCAAGGTTGAGAAACACTGTGGACCTAAACCATAGCCAGGACAAATTGCACAAGCTAGCCAACTATGCTGATTTGCCCAGTCCAGTTCCAGCTTCTCCAAGCTTGGAACCTGGTTTTACTTTTAACTGTGCCGGTACTTTATAGCCAATAAATATGTTCTTTAAGAAAACCTCTTGCCTTGGAGTTCTCTTTGACTGGTCTCATCTGTCGGAACCATGACATCAGTTCTGCACCCCAGGTATTACTTCAGCTATACATTTTCCCATCGTTCTTCAGCCAGTCCTCTTGTTTGGACTGTCACACTCTGGCAGGCTTGAGAAAAGGGGCGCCTGCTCTTATTATTCACATTTTATGGGTCAAGACGGAGAGGAAGATCATGATTGAGGCGGGAAGCATTTGCTGGCCAAGGGTCTCTTTATTTTCAAGAGGCTGGCAGTTTCTGCCATTCACAGCCTTATTTTTAGAAAGGTCACTGCAGCTCCAGTGCTGCAATTAGAGAATCACACTGAGTAACTAACAGCTGTGTGAGCCAAGATGAAAAACTTTTGCTGGGGAAGAAGTTGGCCACTTTTCTTGAAGCTCAAGGTAGGATGCAATCTGGATTGTGCATCCAAAGTCTGGAAATGGGGACTGGCCTGTTATGGACATTATATACCCTTCTCTGTCTTTCCCCTTGGCTGATGGGCTTCACACTGGGGCAGGGGTCTTCTGAGGAACCGGCAGGGTTGCCAAGGAAATGGTTGGAATCTTCCCAAATCAAAAGGCAACTTTGACCAATAAACACAGAAGGAAGAGGAGGAGGAAAAATGGAGGAACGGGATAATATTACTTTGCTTAGAAACTGGTTGGATCTAAAACTGCCAGAAACATAGTCTAGGCAATATAAAGTTTTTTAGGCCAGCAGAATTTTGCTCTGATCCTCTGGTTGGCTTGACTTGCTATGCTCGATAATCACCACTTAAGAACTGTGGTTTTGGAAAGAATAATAATATCTGCAAGAAATATCATCTGCCTGCAAGCAAGAACTAGTAGAACCATGGTAGGCAAAGTAATAGAAAACGAAGAAAAGTGCTCTGGGACTTTAGAAATCACACAGACAAACACTTGCAACAATTCTTAATAAGAAAGACCAAAAAAAGTCTGGATGGTGGACGTGGTAGTACAGAGACAGCAGAACAGAAAAGAAAGAACTGGAGAAAATAGCAAAATATAAAGACCTGCAAATAGAAGTAGACTGACTCTGGCAAAAGAAAACAAAATACTAATAGTGATAGGCGCCTTGGGTGCAATCCCAAACATCTGGATCAGCACTGGACCAACAACATTGACAAAATCACCATCAGTCAGTTGCAAACGGCAGTTTACTTAGGACTCAATAGATAAATTAAAATGCCATATTCAGTCTGAACATTTGACTGACTGAGCAGCCAAACGTAATAATATACTATTGGGTTGATAAAATCACCATCGGTCAATTGCAAAAGGCAGCTTTACTCGCAATAGCTTACATCCTGCAATGATACCTCTGACACCATCAAACATCCACATCTGCCTATTCCAGTCCTTGGGAAGGACTTAATAGGTTGATAAAAATGCCAAATCCAGTCTAAACATCTGGCTGACTATAAGATGAACAATGATAATAATGTATCAAATTTATATGCTGCATAACTGCCAGTTCATGTAAAACTTTGCTTCTGTGATACAGTTGTTCATTGTACATGTTCAGACCCCAAACTCCTTATGATCTTTGTTATTCTTCTCTATACTCTTTCTAGGGAACACCTAGATCTGTGTTTCTCAATCTTGGCAATTTTAAGATGGGTGCACTTCAACTCCCAGAATTCCAAAGTTGAGAAACACTCACCTATACGATCCCTTACAATCTTTTTAGGGTCTCAGCATCTTTTTTGCATTGCAGTGACAAGATAAAAAAAACTGGTCAAGAAATTCAGTAGTTCAGCTTTCCTTAACATGCTCACTTTTTACAAACAATGTTTATTTTCTAAGCACGAAGAAGCATTCAAGCTTACATTTCCTATTTCCTTCCCTCTGAAATGGTGCAGCACAAGCAATTCATAATATTGTTCAACAAATATTTAGTTTGATTCTGAAATTTGCCAGCCTGTGTTTTTTTGGGGAAATAAATCAAATAGCTTAAAAAACCATATGCAAATGATTTCTCATTTAGCTTCTCCTGTTTGCAAAGTTTACAATCAAAGAACTTTCTGGTTTGTGATTGCTAATCACATGGATTAAAAATCAGAGTCGGATGTTTGATTTTAGTATTACTGTTTGAACTTGAGGACCGGATCCTCCTGTCCATTTCACAAATTAGGCCTCGTAAATTTTGAGGAACGAATTTCTCAGAGGGAAATGTGGAAGGTGTTGAAAGGGTCCTGAATTTTGAAACTAATTAGATATGGCCTAGAAAAGATTAGGAAAAAAAAAGCTTGGACTTTGGAGGCCCCCACTTATGGGATGAGGACAATTTGGGCATTCGCTGATCGCAGTGGCTAATGAAAATCTGATCTAAAAAAGTTATTCTGTATGTTCATCTTCACACATGGGACTTCCATTGATGTCACTTCTGTGCCGCAGATCAAGGAAAAGGGAAATAACTGCACAGTTTGAAAAGCAAGTTATCAAGATGTTGCTTATTAAAAAAAAACTCTGAGGGGAAATAACATGAATGAAGTGAGCGGGGGGGGGTGAATAGAAAGCAGGAAGAAGGCTGGAAGAAGGATTGTGCGCTTGTGTCTTGTACACTATTTCCACGTTCGGCTTTTCAGTTGGAGTCCACCACATCCCTCGCTATTGTTGAGCCAAGTCACGAGAGATTTTAATCACATCTGTGGGCAAAGAGGAGGATTGGCAGCTGGTTTACACAACATGCTTCACATAAGGGCTGAGTAAACCCAATTTGGAAAGTTGAAAAAGATGTTGAATCATCAAGTAACCAGATGGTTGCATTGAGCAACCCACTGAAGCACGCACAAAAAACTCCAAACCCAAATTAAAATGAATTAAAGTTAGTAGGCATATGGTGCAGTTGTTGGGACTTTAAATAGTATATGCCTTGTGTAAATCCAGCCAATATGTGGCTTCGGGGTATCCACAGGGAGGGGGTCAAAAAACTGGTGACCCAACTATGATGTACATAAGAATGGGGGGGGAAGCATTGATGGCATGGCAGTAACCACCATGTTTAACCTCCTCCCCTCCCCCATGGATATCTAGTGTGGCTTTATTTATTTTTTTGCCTTAGGGGCGTAAAAAGGGAATCCACCATCTTATGCTCCTTTGCAGCCCTTTGTCCAGTAGCTTTAGCTATAACATGCAATCCCAGATTGAGCTGAAATGGTGGCTGTGAAGTTGAGAAAGATGCTCCATGGCTGTTATCTCTAACAGATAAGACTGGCTTTGAGGGCTGAATGAGGACCAGCCCAAAGCGAGATCTGTGCTGTCACTCAGACACCAAAAAAGGCATCTTCTCTCTTGTGGCCGCATTAATTCAGGAGAACCTGGTAAGAGGAGAACTTTCTGCTTTTGTTACTCAGGGGAGGCCTCTTTGAATTTTGAGAGAAGCAGCGACTTTGACAATCAGCTGGGGGGTATTTTAACTAGGTTTCTGAGCAGATGATACAGGAGTGAAGGGAAAAGCTTTGTGGAGAAAATTAACTTATTGGATGGCATCAATGTTTTACTAATGTGTATGGCTTCTTCTCAGCTACTGTAGCCATTGGCTGTAGCCGGCATGCAGTTGTCACTGAATTAATGTGAAATTGTTGGAGTTGGTTTTTACTGAAGAATTTGTGTAAAGTTTTGCAGGCGGTATAAGGCAGAGGTCCCCAATCCCTGGACTGTGGACTGATACTGGTCCGCGGCCCGTTAAGAACCGGACTGCGCAAGCAAGTGAAGTTTCATCTGTACATGCACAGGATCCAGGTAGCATGCGAAACTATGCCCCCCCCCAGTCCATGGGGGAAAAAAGCTTGGTATACGGTCTAGGTTTCACAAAGGGCTCCTGGACAGAGGTTGGAGAGACAGCATACCCCTAAAAGCAACAATATGCTATTGCGATGCCAGCTCCACCTCTTTTTCTGTGTCGGGGTCATGACATCACTCAGACAAAGAAAAGGAGTGTATCTTACATCGCAATGGCACAATGTGAGAACAGTTAACCAGTGGAATGGCTTCTCTCCAGAAGTTGTGGGTGCTCCATCACTGGAGGCTTTTAAGAAGAGACTGGACAGCCACCTGTCTGAAATGGTATAGGGTCTCCTGCTTG